CATATACTATAAAAATATGGCTTTGAAGCATAATAAACGCTCTCAGCTGCAAGCATCCTCTGAGTTGTTTGTCTTCTGTTAGCCAGTTCGCCGACTCCCTATTCACCTATAATCTTCTTCGAGTAATAAGGCCGAACCCAGTGACTGTGCTGGTCCGCGGCACCCCACCTCCATCCCCTGCCTCCCCCCACCAGCTGCTTGACAGGAGAAAGATGAGGCAGTCTGCCCTCTATAAGTCCGTAAAGATTTACAGCCTTGGAAACCCTATGGGGCAGTTCTATGCTGCCCTATAATGTTGCTATGAATCAAATCAACTCCACAGCAGTGGCTTTGGTTTGGGTTTTGGTTCAGCCCTTGGCAACCACAATCTGTTTTCTGTTTCTATGAGTTTATATTTTTCTGGATATTTCATATAAATGGAATCATACAATATGTTACCTTTTGTGTCTGACTTCTTTTGTTTATGTGTTGGAGGTACACTTTATATTATTTATTCTAAAACCTGCCACCCCCTTTTACCTATAGGAATTCTGGGACTGGTTGGTGAGCCCAACAGGAACCACCCGCTCATTCCCCATTATAAATCCTGGCCATGCTGGAGATAGGGCAAAGAGTCCACACCAGGAACCTAGACACCTAGGATCCAGTGCCAACTCCTTCACTGGGTGACCTTGAGCAAGTAACTCACTTCTTTGGGCTTCTGTATCTCCATCTAAAAATAGCAAAGGAAGGGGGAACTAAATCCACAATTCCATGATGTGGCTCAGGCCTCATAGAGAGTGGCAGAATCAGTGCTGATACTTTCTAGAGCCCTGTGGGACCTTTCTTCTGCAATACACTCCAGGCTAGAGTGGGGAATTACAATTATCTTATCTTCCCACCCACCTACAAGAGAAACCATGGAAACTCAGGTCAGCAAGCAGAGGCTAGGCTGGGGCCCATGGTCTAGAACCCAATGGGAATAACTTCTCAACCAAGAAGGAAAATTATTTTTCTTGACAGAACATGAATACTGACTCAGCCTAATTGTGTTTCTGGGAGATCATGGTAAACCAGCTGTGTTATTAAGACTTTAAGGTGTTGGGAAGAATTTGTTTAGATTCCACCCTCTGCCCAGAATCCTTCACAGAGCAAATGGCCAACGGTTTTCCTTTGAGTTGTAGGAGGAGAAAAAGTGGGAGCTGAATTCCAGCCACATCCCTGGGCTGGCCCCAGGCCTGTGAGGACCGACTGGTTCCAGATGGGATGGTGGGGAGAAAACCGGTCTCACTGGAGGACTGGAGGGAGAGCAAGCTGTGCCCCTCCAACTGGGGGTTAACTTGGGCTAGTGGCTTAACCTCTATGTGTTCTCAGTTTTTTAATCTATAAAACTCAGGCAATCAGTGGGTGATAGCTGCAAGGAGACAGAGTCTAGCTCAGTGAGGGTAAAACCCTTATCTGAGCTGTCCATAGTCAGAAGGGATTGTCTTTGGAAAAAATATACCCCTTGACATTAAAGGAATCCAAGGGCTGACTACTTCATGATGCAGAAGAGACTCCATCATGACTTTAGGATAGGATGAGATGGCCCTTAATTCCCTTCTAATTCAGAGATTACTCAAGTATCACTGCTAAACTCCCAAAGTCTGCCCCTTCTCTAAGGTTTAGGAGGAAAAAGGTGCCCATCTCTGCTACAGCCAGTCCCATTCTCTCAGTCTCTTCATCTGTGGACTGCTTGTCTAGCACTTAAAAGTGCTTTCACTGTGGACTGGAAAGGTCTTTAGAATCAGTCACTTACTGTCAGACCCCGAGATAAACGACTTTGCCCTTCTGGGCCTCACTTCCTCATCTTTAAATTGGAGGCATATTATGGATTTGATAAAATGGAAATAGCTCATCCAGGGCTTGGGTCATGGCCCAAAAAAGCAAATGATACTTCTCTCCACTCCCCCTGGACATGGGGTCATCTACCTACCAAGAAGTCACAACTGTTTAATGACCATAAATTCAGACATTTCAGGTTAAGGGAGAGGTTATTCTGCTAGCCCAACCTTCTCTACCCTCATCAAATCTCTCATAGGGAGCTCTCAGGCACTCAAAATGCAAAGGATATGGCACCTAGTCCAGAATAAGTGTAAGCACAGGAGCTCAACAGATGTCTCCGGACTGAACAAGTGGGGCATGTCCCGGTCTAGATATGTGGGAACTGTGTAGCTCTCCTAATTCCAGATCCTATCCATGCCACTCAACCCCCCAGGAGCTGTCCCATGAAACACTAAGGTTTGAAACCCCCTTCATGATGTCACTGTCTTCCCTAGAGGCACAACATAAACAACACTTCTGCGGCTGTTCCATGATAAATGCAGATGTCAAAGCTGGAAAGAACATTAGAAGTCAGATCCAAACTCCACTTTACAGTTGAAGAACTAAGGCCTGGAGAGGGGTAGCTTTTACAAGTTAGTGGTGATACCAGCATTAGAGCCCAGACAAGAATCCTGGCTCCTAATCCAGTGCTCTTCCTTCTACAGGTCCAGGCTGTGCAAGCTACTCACCACCCTGTGTGCAGAAACATGGGGGGCAAGGTGTAAAGCTCCTCATCAGACTGGGGGTTTCCCAGTACAAGGACTATGTCTCTTCTATCAGACTGGAGGCTCCCCTGGGACAGGAACTGTGTCCTCCCCATCAGACCAGGGACTCCCACAGCCTAGGGCTTGGGAGTCTACTTAACACACTAGTACTATCCAATCATTGTGGATAGAGAGATGAACAAGGCTAGCTCTCTGTTCTCTAAAGGCTCAGAGAATCTGAAGACTCTTTCTTTGCCTCCGCCCTCTAACCTGCAAAATGGACAAGGGGGTTAGTTTAGGATCTGGCAAGGCCTGGGAATTCTGTGGGCTGCCCACAACTAGGATAGTTCCTTGTCCTCTCCAAATCTCAGAGGGACACTCAGTGTCCGGGAGGAGGAAACTCTCACCAACTACAGACAACACCCCACTGGGGACCTGGCTACGGGGCCAAAGAGCTGATCCTTAGCCCAGCCTCAGAACCATGAACTCCTTCCTTGGGTGACCTTCTCCCCACTGCCTGCCAGCTGCTGAGGGTGGGAGCCCCAACCTACTTAACCAGGGCTGGACTTGAGAAAAATCGGGCCAGGGAGTAAGCTTCAGGCAGGACCAGAGGTGTATCTATAGAACATAATGCCTATGGCAAGCACTGAAATTATGCCCCTGTCCAAATATCTGACACCCATCTTTTAGATAACATTACCATAATATCAGCTCAAAGACAAGGCAAGCTTGTTAGTCTTTGACTTAACACATTATGGAACTACATGAAAACTACAACTGTACTTTCCTTGCTTTTTATTGACAAAATTTGGTCTATCATGTCCTCTAAGTCATCTTTTCTTCTTCAGTTTCTTCTTTTTCTGCAGCAGAGCAGGATCACCCAGTCCACCATGACCTATGGAGGCTCTCAGACAGGAAAGTATTAGTTTTAGCTTACTGAATGATGTCTCACAGCTGGCAATGGAAACCACAATGGTTAATAGAAAGTGCTCAGTGGTGCCACATACCCTACCTACCATACCTTAGACACACCTCTTGCCAGGACCCTTGGGTTTGCACAGCCTCCCCCACCTGCTGTCAGTAGAGGTCCAACCAGTGGTTCCATCGAGTGCTTTCTGATGGTTACTAGGTGCCTGGAATGGGCTATCTGAGAGGGACTGTGCAGCCCCTCTCCTACTCTATCCCTTTGCTTGAACTCTGCAGGAGGCAGCTGGTTTCCTTCCCAAAGCCTGTGGCAAAGCTGTTATAGGTGAAGAGGGGCAGCTGGGCTGGGGCTGGAAAGCAGGGCCTGTGGTCCGTGGATAAGGTTTAGTCCAGTCCCACATCCTCTTTCATAACCAAGGAAAAGCCATCCCATCTTTAGGCCTCTCTTTCTTCATCTGTGACATGGGAACAGTCAGACACCTTCTCTCTAACACGGAGGTCACCTACAAGGATCTGGCCAGGACCTGGCACCAAACAGCTTACCTGTCTCCGAGAGGGAGGATTGTTATGCCCACTGTCTGGATATTCCAGACCCTTTCAGCCAGTATGTGACCTCAGGGAAGGAGAGAAGCTGGCAGAGGGCCCGGGATAGTGTTCATGGGGGCTCCTGCTCACCCCGTCTATCTCCTCCTCCTCTTCCTGTCTGGTCCCTGGGGTAAAGTGTCCTGGATATTTCTGGCTGCCTCCTCTTCAGGGCCTCTGGCTTCCCAGGCTCATACAAGTGGCCTCAACACCCCAGCCCTGCTTTGATCGAGTGACCTGGGTGGGAGTGCCCCAGCATGGGAGGCACATTGGTGTGGGGTCTACAGATTCATATGTGAGGGTCTGTGCATACATGTGTCCTGGGGGGAGGGAAGTTTCCCTCTTCCTCCTAATCCACTTCCTCCTTGGTCACTGTGAGTCACTCCATCTTCCTGAAGAAGGCCTCCGGGTGAGGATGAGCCAGGTGAGCATCTCCTGACTGGCAGTTTCTATCATACATAGACCTGGGCCTCCATTTCTCCACCTGCAGAATAAGGTGACAGTAGGAGATAATCACAAAGCTCTCTTCCACCTGACACTTTGGGATCCAGATTCTTACTTTGCTGGTCACCCATGAAAGTTCTGAACAGTGGAAAAAGTGCCCTGAGGTAGGCAGTGGGAGATCTGGGACTGTCTGCTCCAAGCTACATGATCCTGGGCACGTATCTACCCCTCTCTGCCCCAGGATCCTCCACTATAAATGAAAAGATTGAACCATATGAATCTGAAGTTCCTTTCAACTTTGACCTTCTGGTGTAAGGTGACTGCCTAGCATTTGTAGCACAGAGAGGGGTAGAGCATAGTAGTTGGGGGTACACTCTCTAGAGTTAGACTGGCTGCATTGTTAGCCTCGCTCTGCTGGCCATATGACCTCAGGCATGTGATTTAACCTCATCTGGGAAATGGGGCCATTAATGTATAGTGTTGCTCTAAGTAAAAAATGGCTAATATCCATTAAATGAGAAATTGTAATAGTATCTTTTCATAGGATTATTGCAAGGATTATAAAAAACCAAACTCACTGCCTTTGAGCTGATTCTAACTCATAGCAACCCCCTTTGGGTTTCCAAGGCAGTAAATCTTTATGGAAGTAGATTGCCCAGTCTTCCTTCAAAGGAGTGGCTGGTGGGTTATAGGCATCCATATAAAATGCTTACAACAGTGCCTAGTCAGAATTCACTTGATGAGGGTAACTAGTTTGGCTTTTGGCACAGTAGTAGCTAAAAGAAGCCCTTCTCCTTCCCACCCACAGACATGATCTCCCTCAGCAGCTCCACTTTCCTCCCAAAGTCTGGGGCCATATGGCAATGAAGGAATCAGGAGTTGAACAAGGGGAAATAGACATTAGCTTCCCAGTGCCATGCAAAGTTAGGGGGTATGCTCACATACAGGGGCTTAGTGGACACTCATCTGCAAAGCAGAATTGCTACCCTCCCCATTTTACAGACAGGAAAACTGAGGCCTGGAAACAGATGGGTCTAGTCTGGAGTCAGGAGCAGAGGCTCAGGCCAGTTAGAACCCTGTTAGACTGGACTGCTTCATGTGCTTCACCTCTGTCTCTCTGCCTCTAGGCCTCTCCTTCTCTCCTCTGAGAGGTGGGGTGGTCTTAGTATTAATCCAGTCTGCACTTCCTCCCAGTTGAATGACTTTGGACAAAGAATGTAAACTCTATGAGACTGATTCTGAACATTTTAAAGATATTGTCCTGATACCATAAAATAGTTGTTATTTAAAAAAAAAAAAAAAATATATATATATAATAATAATTATTATTATTATTACTGTGATTTGGGTGAAAGTTTACAGAGCAAATTCATTTTCCATACAGCAGTTCTTACACATTGTGTTTCATGACATTGATTGCAGTCCCCATAATATAACAGTTCTCTTCCCTCTTCTTCCCTGTGGCTGTCTTTTCCTGGTGTCCTTCCTAGGCCTTCTTGCCCTCTGCGCTATCTCCCTACGCAAACACTGCCCTTCTGGTCTGCCATGATTGATTGTTCTAAGGAGTGTACCTATTTGATGTAAATGTTCACTTTGTTGGCTTATTGTTTGGCTGGAAGCCACAGGAGTGAGTTCAATTCCAGGCCCAAAGGGTAACTAGAGGCCATAGTCTCTGGGGTTTCACCAGATTTTATCGGACCAATAAGCCTGGTCTTTTTATTACGATTTTGAGTTTTGTTCCATATAAAATAGATGTTATTATTGGCCACATTTTGCTGATGAGGAAATAGAGTTAGAGTACCTGCCCAGGGCAAAAGAGTCGGCACAGTGTGGGCTAAATGGGGTACCTTTCGTAATGCAACCCTCATAATGCCTGATAATGCAGAGGTGGCGGTCTTATTTCTTATTCGAAAATGAATGGCCACACCGGTCTTCAGATGCTCTTTGGGCTCACAGCCATCCAGTCTGCTGGCCACTCCATCACATGAGCCGCACTATCTTTAGACAGGGAGATATTTATATCCCCCGGGGAAGTATTTTCTCTGTGGGGGAGCCCCAGAGTCTGCAGCCGTGACTTCAGGCCCCCAACAGCCGCTTCCGCTCCTCTGGCTCGCCATGCCGCCAGACTCGGCGGCCACCGTGCAAGTCTGGGTGGGTGGCCAGCTCTTCCAGGCCGACCGAGCTCTGCTGGTGGAGCATTGCGGGTTCTTCCGCGGACTATTTCGCTCGGGCATGCGGGAGGCGCGGGCGGCCGAGGTGTGCTTAAGCGCGCTGAGCCCAGGCGGATTCCGCACCATGCTGCAGGTGCTGCGCGGCGAGCGGCCGACGCTTGCGGAGGCAGAAGAGTTGCTGCAGGCCGTGGAGTGCGCCGCCTTCCTGCAGGCGCCGGCCCTAGCGCGCTTTCTGGAGCATAACCTCACGTCGGACAACTGTGCGTTGCTGTGCGATGCGGCCTCGGTCTTCGGCCTGCACGACGTGTTCCACAGCGCCGCGCTCTTTATCCGTGACGGCACTCGTGAGCTGGCGGCTGAATTGGTGCTGCCTGAGGCCCGCGCCTACGTGGCAGCGGTGCGGCCCAGCAGCTACGTGGCCCTGAGCACCCACACGCCCGCGCCCGGCTTCCTGGAGGACGCATCGCGCACGATATGCTATCTGGACGAGGAGGAAGACGCGTGGCGCACACTGGCCGCGCTGCCGCTAGAGGCGAGCACGCTGCTGGCTGGTGTGGCCACTCTGGGCAACAAGCTCTACATTGTAGGGGGTGTGCGTGGCGCCAACAAGGAGGTGGTAGAACTGGGCTTCTGCTATGACCCAGACAGCGGTACATGGAGCGAATTCCCCAGCCCGCACCAGCCGCGCTACGATGTGGCACTTGTGGGCTACGACGGCTGCCTCTATGCTGTTGGTGGCGAGTTCCAGAGGACACCCATGAGCTCCGTGGAGCGCTACGACCCGGTCGCAGACTGCTGGACCTTCGTGGCCCACCTGCCGCAGCCTGCCGCCGGCGTGCCTTGCGCCCAGGCATGCGGCCGCCTTTTCGTATGCCTGTGGCGACCTGCTGACACCACGGCTGTGGTGGAGTACGTGGTTCGGGCCAATGCCTGGCTGCCAGTGGCCGAACTGAGGCGCCCGCAGAGCTATGGCCACTGCATGGTGGCCCACCGTGACAGTCTCTACGTGGTGCGCAATGGACCTTCTGACGACTTCCTGCACTGCGCCATCGACTCCTTTAACTTAGTCACGGGCCAGTGGACGGCGCTACCCGGCCAGTTCGTTAACAGCAAGGGGGCACTCTTCACGGCCGTGGTGCGTGGCGACATCGTCTATACAGTCAACCGCGTGTTTACGCTGCTCTATGCCATCGAGGGCGGCACCTGGCGGCTCCTCAGGGAGAAGGCCGGCTTTCCCCGGCCCGGCTCCTTGCAGACCTTTCTCCTGAGGCTACCTCCTGGTCCGTTGGGGCCTGTGGCCTTGACAACATCAGAACTGTGACCCCTGGGCTGGGCTTTAAGATGGGGACTGGCTTGACTCTTCCCTGAGGCATAGCTGAGTTTGTGGGGTTGGCCCTAGCAGCTGCCGGGAACTACTCTTTTCCTAATTGAGACTCCCAGGCCTCTTGCCTTCTCTTGGTGGTATGAATGTTCAATCAGTTCAGGAAACAAGTGCCAACTGCTGCGGCCTGAACCCTCAAGTTATTTGGGTTCTGCTAAGAGATGGTGGGTAACAATGTCAGTAAAAGTGGTATATGGGGGAGTAGAATCTGCATAATCAATGCCGTGTGTGAATGTGACAGTAACTCTAAAGTGGCTAGGAGTGATGTTAAATTGATGTTAAATTGTCAGTCAGTAGCTAGGAATCAGGCATCTACTGTTAGTCCAGCACAGTGATAGGCCTAATGTGGGCTGTAGTTGCCCACAACACAGGGCCTGTCGGAGCTTTGAGTGTAGCCCAGTAAACAACTCAACAGAAAAGTTACAGGACAACAAAAGATACACACATACATGTCTTGGTCCACAGAGAGTTGAAGGCAATGTGTAAAACAAACAAAAAGCCCACAATGTAATAAGTACTGAAGAAATCAGAAGGCGCTCTGGTGGGCAGTGCCTAAGGCAATTGCCTGCTAACCAGAAGATTGGTAGTTCAAACCCACCAGCCACTCCGCAGAAGGAAGATGGAGCAATCTACTTCTGTAAAGATTTACCACCTTGGAAACCCAATAGGGTTTGGAATCGACTCTATGGCGGTGAGTTTGGCTTTTTTTGGTAGAGAAATCAGGAGAGAGGAAAAATAGATAACTCCAGGAAGAAGGAGCATATAAGAACTAGACTGTGTGGACTGTGGGGACCGTGAGAGCTCAGAGGAAGAGGAATGGCTAGAGCAGATGGGAAGGATCTCTGTGCACCCAGCCTTAAAGCAGAGCAGCTATAGATGGAGGCATGTGGAGAGGAGAGCGTGCAGAATAAAAGGACAGGGTCCTAGGCAGTGGGAGGGCTGGGCTAGCTGGTAGCAGACCATAACTAGCAAGCCCGGAGTGAGACCTGTCTGAGAGAGAAAGAGTTCCCCTTTCCCTCCTGTCCTTCTGGGCATGGAGACCCTCAGAGCAGAATCCAGCTGTAAGCCCCTTCCCTACCTCCTTTTTTGCCATCACCCTAGGGACAGTGGGCGGTTACCCTGTGAGTTCAGCTCAGTCAAAGTATGAGAGCACACATGGCCACATCTTCCTGCCTTCTCTTCCTTGATTGGATTCTGCTCTCCTAAGTTCATTTGCTCCTCCTAGCCTCTTTTTCTGCCATTCCCTTGGCCTGGAGTGTCTTTCCCATTCCTCTTTCTATTTTGGCTGTATAGCTACCTCCTCTGTGCCAGGTTGATTGATTAGTTCTGTGTTCTCCTGACCTTGGCTGCCATCCTTGCTCACTGGACTCCTGGCTATGACATCATTCTGCATATATGTGTGTGTGCCCAGGCACATACGTAGATTGTAAGGACAGAGATCCTATTGCGATGTCAACTGAGCTGGGGCATTTCCCAGCCTGCAGAATAAATGGATAGGGTCCTAGGCAGTGGGAGGGGCTATAGAGGCCACTAGTCAGGGACCTGGTGTTTAGGCGAGGACTCTTGTCCCTTTTCTAGGATATCTCAGACCTGGCTTCTGAACAGGTGCCTACCCCCGCCCTGCAGCCTCTCCAGGACCTCAGGTAGACTTCTCCGAGTGGTCTCCATCCTTCAGGGACTGAAGCCCATGGGCAATCCTGGCCGCCTCAAAAGTAGAGAATGCAGCATTGGCATAGCACTTAGTGAGCATGGTGGCTTGTGTCAGGGCTGCCGCCAGCTGCCTCTTTCCTTGGCTTGGCTGATCTCTGCCCCAAGCCCTGAACAATGTTGCCCTCAGAAGCTGGGGACTTTCTGGCCCTGGAGTAGTAGTCTGATGAGTCACAATAAACCCTAACTTTTACATCCTGTGATTGGTGTGCGAAGTACTTTCACACCCATCTTCCTACCCCAACCCTACCACAAACCTGGGAGTTGGATACGCTGTTCCTGTGGCAGATGAGATAGGGGAGGCTCAGAGACTGAGGGACTGGCCCAGAGCCACACAGCATGGCAGAGTCCCTCATGTTTGATTGGTGATGGAGTATTTTTTTAAAAGTTAAAATCGCTGCATACAAACATAAAATGATCACGTTTCAGAGGTTTACTTAACTCACTAAAGCTAAATTAGAAACAGTTGATTAATGCCTTACAGGGCAATAAATTAACTTTTAGGGTTACTTCTCAACTCAACAAAAATCTTTCATATCTGCCAGACAAAAATCTACACGTTACATGTAACTTCACAAAGTCTGGGCCGTGATTAATAGTAAATTGTAGATCAAAGGTACCTTCCCCTAAAGATTTAAATAACTCTTAGAGGAGTATTAAACAGTACTTTAAAATGACATTGAAAGGATGTGCAGGCCTCTTTATGCTTTATTCCCAAGTTATGGATACATTTTCTTCATAAAACAGAGTACATTCCTCCTTGATCACGTCTCCGGACCAAATGCTGAACACTCTGAGACTTGCAACTTCCAGATCCATAAGCTCGGGAGTCTTACTGAACCAACAGAACTTTGTATTTGGCAGCTTTTGGAGTTGGCTACGTGGCTGTGCTCAGACGGGGCCTGTTGGCTCCTGAGGTTTGGTTGTTCTTGATTCAGAGCAGCCCTTTCTAAGATGACTTTTGAGCAAAACAATAACACGATGTTCGCAGAGAGCTCTCCCACGGATTGCCTTATTTGAGCTTTATAAGAATTTTAAGTGGTTAAGTGCTTGGCAACATACCCATCCCTGTTTTTAGGTGCCGTTGAGTCTGTTCCTACTCGTAGTGACCCTGTGTACAACAGAACAAAACAGTACCTGGTCCTGCCCCATCCTCACAATCGTTGCTGTGTCTGAACCCATTACTGGAGCCACTGTGTTAGTCCATTTCGTTGAGGGTCTTCCTCTTTCTCATTGACCCTCTACTTTTACCAAGCATGATGTCCTTCTCCAGGGACTGGTCCCTCCTGATAACATGCCCAAAGTAAGATAAATGTCCCCAAAAGGAAGGTGACTGGAAGAAGCACAGCTACAAAGTGACAGAGCCCACTTTGAACCCAGGACAACATGCTTGTTCTCTGTGCTGCCTCACACTTGGCTGAAGTTCTGCACTGCGCAGAATATTTCTGCCTGTTTCCTTAACACCCCTTCCCTGTTACCTACCTCTTTGGAGAGGTAACTTTGGGGAGATGAACTCCCTTCCCTCGAACATAGCCCTTTCCTTCTTTCTGCTTCCATAGAAAAAGTAACTGTCCTAGGCTTTCCTGCCTTAGGATCCAGCTAGGGCACTAATGGGCCACTACACAAGGGTATTAAGACTGGTTAAGGCCCTAAGGGTGGGGGAGTGTTTATAATTTAATACATATTTTCTCCCTCTCAGAAAGTGTGGGGAAGATTTAAAAGCTCAACCCATCTTCTCCTCTGACCTAAGGTTCCTCACAGTCCAGGCTCTGCAGCTCCTGCCACAGCACTACCTGTCTGCTGCCCACCACCCTGGTCACGGGTGGTTCCCATGCTTGGCTGCCAGAGAAGAAACCAGTAAAAAACCAAAATGACTCACCCAAAAGCTCACAGGCAGCTATGTGGAAAAGCAGGAACTTGAACCTAGAACTTGGAATGCTCAGTCTCTCGGACATAGTCTTAACCACTGCAGGAAGGTGTCTGGAGTCATAAACCAGGTGCAGGTGGGCAATTACAGAACAACTGAGTGGTTACCAAGCCCAGACAGCTAAGCCTGTCTCAGCCCAGAGGCCCACTTACGAAAAGTCTGTTCTTCCAGACACACACACACACACACACACAGAGCAGTAAGAAAGATTTTCCTGGACTTCCATGACAGCTCCAAGGTCAGACTTTTTTATAAACTCTTTGCCCCAATTCTGAATGCCCTGCACCCCTAAGCTATCCTTTCCCTGGAAATGACCCTGTTATGTATATATACATAGCCTGCCTGACAGAGGCAGAATGAGAAGCTAGGCCTTCCCACACTCCACCCTGCTTCCTTGCTTGCCTCCTTTCAGTCTGTTCACTGGGCCCACTCGGTTTCACACAGCTGCCAAAGGGATCCTAGTGAAATGACAGACCATGTTACTCCTCCGCTCAGAACCTTTGGGTGGTTCCTTATCTTACTCAAGTGAAAGCCAAAGACCTTTCGATCTTCCCATTTCTTTGCAGACTTCTTCCAGCCTGGTTGCTGTTCTTCAAATACATCAGACACTCCCACCTCAGGGGCTTTGCACTGGTGGCTCTCTACTTGGCATACCTCCATCAGCCACCTGGCTTACTCCCCTACCCCTGCAGGTCTTTACTCAGGGCCTTTCCCGACCACCCTATTGAAAATCTACCTCCCCCTTCTCTGCATTCCCTAGTCCCTTTTCCCGTTTTATTTTCTTCCATTACATTTGTTATCATCTATCATACTATGTTTGTACTTGTTTGTTTATTGTCTGTTTCCTCCTACTAAAATGTGAGCTCCATGATGGTATAATATTTTGCCTGTTTTGTTCATTACTGTATCACTAGGACAAAGAACAGTGACTAGACTGTAAGTAGAGGCTTAATAAGTATTTGTTGAGTGAGTGAAGGAAAGAATGGATCAATCACTTGACCCATCAATCAAGGAAGAGATAAACCCATAGGAGAGGAACAGAAGCTCATAGATTTCAGAGGAGGAGTGTCATTTCTGGTTGGGGATGGGGAGCAGACCAGGGAAGAATTTCAGAAGGAGCAGAGACACTGTCAAATCCACTCTGGGAAGAGTGGGATCTGAGAACAGCAGCCCATGAGTCACTTCTCTTTTTTCAAGGGATAGAAGAGGCTGGGTTTGGAAATACTAATCATCCTGTGAAGAATTGCTCCTCTTGGCGGTGGAATACACACAAGGCCATTCTGTTTATTTTCTTTTGGCCCCAAGC